CCTCCTCTGCTGCCTCAGCAGCCTTTCATGGTGCAGCTAAAATTGAGTCCTCTGTCCTCATACAGGCTTTAGTGGCGTCCAAACTTTTTTCAAAGAGGGCAAACCAAAGTTGCTGACCTTTTTTTAGGACTGAAGTTTTTTTAGGGTTGGAGTTCTTGAGCTTTTTAAAGGATTTTACCCCAGGAAATAAACTCTGCCACAGGGGCCAGATTACACTGACCGACAGGTCAGATTAGGCCCCTGAAATGGACTTTGGACATGCCTGCAAAGTCTAGAAGAAGATGCAGAGGCAGTTCAAGGGACTGGGGAGAGGAACTTGGCATGATGAAGAGTCCTATTGATCTCTTTTTAAAAAAATAGATTTCATCTGTAGATAGCATATGGGAACCTTACATTATGTTTAAATTAAACATCCTTTTAACTGAACTGGAGAACCTGAGGATAATTCGAAAAGCAATTCTGCTGAAAACCAGCACAGATCCCTACCAAGAGTACCAGGGGGTAGTGCCTCTGCTCCCTCTGCTGACCATACATAATACTGCTTGTCTCTTTAGGAAGTTTCCATGTTTCCTCCTTGAACATTACTGTTCCTAGCACAGACTGGTACATCTAATGAAATCCCCTTCACAAGCAATGCAGAGCCCTGCTATGCTGGCCTGTTATACAAGTAGCTGTCTGTACAGGCTTGATGCAGCTTCATCACTGCTTGCAGAATACAGCCGTGTCAGTCAGTGCAGCAGATAACTTTACCATATTTCTATGGTCAACTCTATGTCTAAGAATATATTTGCTCTGCAAGTCAATGGAACTCACAGCCTGAACATCTGAAATAGAAGGATTCTAGATATTTTCCATCAAGCCTCTGTAGCTTCCAAGGCTCCTTGGCAAAAGCCCTGTCAGTTGAACCAGTTTAAGTTGCTGGGACCAGCAGTACAGTCAAGTCAGTCTCTCCAGCAAAATCTGCTTAAAATGGTTGACAGCTAGTTTGGGGTGAGGATGAGAATATTATGCTGCCCACAACTTTTCTCCCAGTGTTGAAAGTCAACTCCCAACATTTCACCCTTAAAGGAAATACAGTGGTACCTCAGTTTACGAACAATTCAGTTTAGGAACTCTGTAAAACCAGTAGTAGTGTTCTGGTTAGCGAACTTTACCTCAGTCTACAAACGGAAGCCGAACGGTGGGAGGGCATCGGTGGTGGGAGGGCTCATTAGGGAAAGCGCGCCTCAGTTTAAGAACGGACTTCCGGAACAGATTAAGTTCGTAAACCGAGGTACCACTATACAGTCATGAAGTATAGGTTGCATCACAAGAAATTGTGGTTACCGTCTTTGTTCTACCCACAGTAAGCATTCCAGATTTGTTATTTGAAGCACATAGAAATGCTTGCTTTTAATATATGGCATACATCAGGCAAACAAAAGGGAACTTAAGTTATGTCGTTTCCCTCCTACAGCTTTCTTGTACAGTGGTATCTCTACTTACACGCACCTTTGGTTACGTATCCTTCGGGATACGCACGTGGCAAACCCGGAAGTATTTTTCCAGGTTTCGCCGTATGCGCAGAAGCGCTCTACCGCACCATGCACATGCACAGAACAGGCACCTCCGGTTGCGAAAACCTTGGGATCCGACCAGAGCTCCAGGACGGATCCCGTCCACAACCAGAGGTACCACTGTACTGGAAATATTTACTTTTCTTCTTTATTTCATTTATGAATCACTTCCCAACATCCCAAAGCAATGTAAGACCACCAACAATAAAAACAAATTCAAGTACCATTTTTTGTCCATTTAATAGACAAAACAGATGCAGATTCTCCTGTGATCTGCTTTTGATGATCCTAAGATGATGTGCATGTTCCAGAGCTACACCAACCCTTAAGCTAAGCGACAATAAAAGTGCCCGGCCAAATTCAATGGCTTTAAATATATATCCCAATGCTGCTAGAGTGACGTCCCTACTCATTAACATGTAGAAGCAGTTGACCAGGTGGGGCAGAGTTGCTATGATAGCTTCCCAGCTAGCAGACCCTCCAAATGTCCCTATTTTCCAGGGACATCCCTGATTTAGAGAAGCCATCCCGGTTTCTGATTTGATCCCAGAATGTCCCACTTTTCCTTAGGATGTCCCTATTTTCATTGGAGAAATGTTCATTGGAGGGTATGGAGTTATCCAACCCCCAAGCCGTCTGAAGGCAATCATGTATAGGGAAGTGGTTTTTTTGTTTTTTGTTTAAAGAACACCATTTAATTTTTTTTTTATGTTTATATATATAGGAAGCTGCCCAGAGTGGCTGAGGCAACCCAGTAAGATGTGTGGGATATAAATAGTAAAATTACAATTGTGGAATGGGACGATGCTAGAGGGTATGACCTAGCTGTTGCTTACCAAGAGGGAGAGGAATGGGGGGGGGGTAGTGAGGTAGTTGGCAGGTCATGTGGTTCAAACATACCAGTGGAGCAAATCCGATGCTCTGCTTTTCCACCACACTGACCTCCCTGCCCCCTTGCTCCCTCTCCTTCCACTAAGCAACAGTGAACCAAGAGAACGTGCATTTTCAACAGTGGCTCCCCCTCTGTGAAATGCTCTCCCAGGGAGGCTCACCTGGTGCCTTCTTTATATATCTTTAGGCACCAGGTGAAGATGTTTACCGTATTTACCAGGCCTTTAGCTAAATTAACATTCTATGGCCTTTTAAATGTGTTTGTGGGAGGGGTGCTATTGGTTTGTTCTTGTTTTATTATGTATTTATGTTCTCATTTTGTATTTTTATGTCGTGAACCACCCTGTGATCTTCGGATGGAGAGTGACATACAAATTTTAATAATAATAATAATAATAATAATAATAATAGCAACTGCCAGAAAGTTAGCAAAGTAGCTCCACCTCACTAGGCATACTGCTTCTGTTAGCAGGTTTCTACCTAACCTCTAGCAAGCTCTTTATCCATGTTGCTGCCACAGATTACACATGGGATTGCCCCAGTATTGCCCCACATTCACTACCCTCCAACAGCAGCTTGGCTGTAGAGTGTTTGGGAGACAGCAAACCCCAATTCTGAGCTCCAACTAAGCAATAGGCCTTAGAGCTGTTTAGCAACGAACAGGAAAATAAAATCTTACAATGCAATCTTATATACGCAGAAGTAAGTCCTACTGGGTACGTGTAAAAAATCACTGTAGATAGAGTATTTACAATGAAATCCCATAAATGTCTACTTGGAAATCAGTCCCCTGAATTTCAAATCAGTTTTACTCCCAGGTAAGTGTGTATAGGATTGTAGCCTTTAAAATGGAGAGAGGGGGAGGGAGGGAGGGGGTGGGTGGAGGGGGGGAGAGAGAGAGATGCTTTCTATGGAAAATTATAATTTCATTTATATGTGCACAGCTGTCAATAACTCAGCACCAGTGTCACCAGCAGCAGTATTAAAAAGTAAAATAATGAAGAGGAAAAACATCATGTAGAAAAAGAAATACCATTTATCCAGTGTCTCTTTCCCCTGCATGCAGACAAAATATTTTGAATAATATTGGTGTTGAAACACAATTTAGGGGGAAAAATAGAAAATCAAATTTAAGAGCACATCTGTCTTCCTTTCCCTTCCTGAACTTCATCTTCCTTGCCTCTCTTGTTAGCTCTCATTCCTGAGAGCAATTAGTGATATTTCATCCCCCTGATAATCTTCAGGCCCACAGTTGTAAAATGACTTCCATGATTTTGGCTTGCAGTAGAAACAGCTTGAACCAATATGCATTATTCCAGAGGAATAATTCAGTTGCCAGATCAAAGATTATCAATTTGATTTAGTCTGCCTTCCCCTGTTGAGAGTGGAGGGCCTTGCTCAGGGACCAAAAGACAAAAATATGATTTCTATTGCACTGATTGACAACAGATGGACTATTGTGGAAACTATTAATTGGTTCACTGAAAACTCTAATTCAAACATTACCCAATGTATTCTGCTATATAATTATCTATATAGACATGATTTTGAATGGGGTGAAGGAAACCAAGTCAGCTTCTGTTCATCAGTAGTGAATATACTGATGTGCTAATGATCCTGTAAAGAAGCATTTCTACTCAGTGAAGGCTGGTACAGGAGGGCTACTGAGGCACAGCCCTCCTAGGCAAAATGTCAAGTAATTTTGTATACAAAACCCAATCTTAAAGCCATATACAGTTCTCTGTCACACATACATTTGATACTTCTAGGCAGTGCTATTTTTCTAGAAAAATAAATGCTGGAATTCACCATGAACACCTCCCTTGTCCTCTTATAATGGCAATGGTGCCCACTTGAGAGGTTCTGGAACTGAGTTCCAGTGAGTTCCGGCAGTAAAAAAAAAAAAAGCCCTGGGGAGGCATTTTGGTAAATTTTATGTTCTCTCGCCAATCAGGTCTCTGTGTTATTCAGCCAACCCCAATCCAAAAGTATAGCTATAGCAAAGAGGTCCTTCCCATGTGCCACTTGGCAGAAATAAACTCTTTCGAAATTAATAACACACTAGTCAGCCTCTTATACATGAAGCAATGCTTTTATGAATATGGAGGTAAAACTCTAGACTTTCATCAGACAGATGTGAAAAGAAAAAAATCTAAGTCGGGGTACACAGTATTCAAAAAAAGGATGGCACTAAAACATTGTCACCTAAAGACATCTGCTGAGAATCTGCCTCCTTTTGTTCTAAATTATATACTCCACAATCCCCAGATAAAAAAAGGTATTCACAATTTCTTAGAAAACCTAAATATACCATCATTAGCTCATGATGAGAAAACCTTTCTAGATAGCCCTATCTCACTAGAAAGAAATTGGCAATGTTCTTTAAAAAAAATTGAAACCACATATACCTCCAAGAGCTGATGGCTTCACTTTCAAGCTTTATGAACAATTCAAAGAAACTTTATTCCCATATCTAGTCTGCCTACTTAGTAACCTCATGAAAGGAACACCCCTCACCAAAACATTGTACCACTTCAAGATTGTAGCTTTCATGGATGTAAGGGTGATCTGGCTGCGACACCCGTCACCCCATTGATCGCCAGGGTTGATTTGGCTGATCTGGCTGGCTAGGTGGGTGTCTCCTTCCTCCCTCACCGCTCCATGTGCGTCCCTCCCGAAGCTGCGCGCTTGGTGGAAGAGGATGACCATCCCAGATAGAAGGCGTGTACCATTCTTCAGTCAAGGGTATAGGATAGCTGCGCTCCCCTGCTAGAACCTCCAAACAGGCTCAAGATTGTAGCTCTCACAAAACCATTTAACGGCCAACAGAAGGTAGAATCTTTTCGGGCAATCTTTCCAATGAATCAGGATTATAAAATATGTACGTTAGTGCTAGTCAACAGGATTAAGGGGTTTTTTTTCCAATAAACTAATAGCCCCAGACCAAGATGGTTTTGTCCCCCATCAAAACATCACTGAACCAATCAGAAAACTTTTAAACAAAATCAAACATAGTGAATGGGCAACCTTCTCCCTGGTAGTCATGGCCTTAGACATCCTCAAGGTTTTTGACTGCCTGAAATGGGTCTAATGGTGGCAGTGCTATCTAAAATGCAAGTTGGCTCCAAATTCAAACAGTTTTTGAAACAGATATACTCTGAAGCTCTGCAGTTTATCAAGGGTGATAAGAGACCCCTGTTCCATCCAGAGCACTGCAGTTCTCAGACTGGTTAAACAGTTAATTTCCCCTTCCCTGAGTTCTTACAGAGGTTATACATTTTTATATAGATTGTACCACTTCAGACTGCAAATAGAAAGCCACATAAAGGAATGCTATTCTCTCTGTGTGTGTGATTTAAAAACAACAACCCTGCACATAGAAAACTAGATTCTAAGGAGTCTAATCTAGTTGTAGTGTTAGGGTTCCCATACGTTCGGAATTTTCTGGACATACACGGAATACTCTTGTTGGAAGCAGTGTCTGGGTGGAAATCGGTGAAATGTCCGGGAAAATATGGTGTAGGGCAACACATGTCAGCAGTGTCATTTTTGCTGTTTTCCCTTTAAAATAGCTCTAAATTTGTTGTTGTTGTTTTGTGATTTTGCCAAGAAAGTTCAACAACTTTGGGCAAAACTAAAAGAAGCTCAACAACTTTGCCCCCCCTCCCACCTCAAAAAATGAACCTTAACAACTTTTGTGTCCAGATTTTCACTTTTTGAAATATGGCAACCCTATGTAGTGTGTGGGTTGTGCGTGAAAAAGCATTTCATCATGTGGGCCCCTACACCAGTGCTGTCTGACTTCCAATATACTGTGATCTACGACCAGTATAAAAAAACTAGCAGTGATCTACCCAGAGTTGTTGATGAGGTTTTTTTAGGGAAGCCAAAGTTGTAGAGCTTGGGGGGGGGGGCAAGATGATCCCGCGGTCGATAAGGATCGACCAAGGCCCTCCCATGATCGACCAGTACATCACGATCAACTTGTTGGACAGCCCTGCCCTATACATACAGTATAAAATGGGTACAGTCCAGAAATGGATTTACTCTCCCTGTGGGAAATAAACTGTAGACTAAGGCTAGCCAACATGGTAAGGTAAAGGATAAAGGGGACCCCTGACCATTAGGTCCAGTTGTGACCGACTCTGGGGTTGCGCGCTCATCTCACTCTATAGGCCGAGGGAGCCGGTGTTTGTCCGCAGACAGCTTCCGGGTCATGTGGCCAGCATGACTAAGCTGCTTCTGGCGAACCAGAGCAGCGCACAGAAATGCTGTTTACCTTCCCGCAAGAGCAGTACCTATTTATCTACTTGCACTTTGACGTGCTTTCGAACTGCTAGATTGGCAGCAGCAGGGACCGAGCAATGGGAGCTCACCCCATCGTGGGGATTCGAACCGCCGACCTTCTGATCAGCAAGCCCAAGGCTCAGTGGTTTAACCCACAGTGCCACCCACGTCCCTAGCCAACATGGTACCTTCCAGTTATTTTGGACTATAACTCCCATCAGCCCCAGCCAGCATGACTAATGAGCAACAATGAAGGGAGTTGTAGTCCAACAAAATCTGGAGGGCACTATGTTGGCTAACCTCGCAGTAGGTAAGTATTATAGTTCATAAAAAGCAAAACTTGGTTAATCGTCATAGACCTGAGATACCATGGCAAACTACCAACTCAGCAATGAAAACTGATGATTTTACTCAGCACACTAAATCTCATACTAAGTAACAATCATAGTAAAGTCAAGTAGATCCTTCTTGTTCTTCCATTGTTGTTAAACTGTTCTTACTTATAATAAATATAGGCAGCTACTAGGCTAAAACTGCACTTTAGCATGTTTTAGCACCGTCTTATTACAGTTGCTAGATCTTGAATCCAATGTTCTATGTTAAGTCATGACAGCTTTACTGTAGTTTTCACTTAATAAAGTAGACTTGCATGATAACATCTGTATAGTGGCTTGAGATTTATTGCATTATATTTCACTGTAGCTTTATGATTTTTAAAAATGGGTTTGGGCCAGTGTTTTATTAGGTTGCATTGCTCAACTAGTCTCTGCCAGCCAGAGCTATGTCTATTACTGCTCCTGGAACTGTAGCAAGAACAGGAAATACTACGTTTACTTACAACCACACAAGGCAGAGAGCCAACGGCTTGTCTGGTTTCTCTTTCTCTCAAGTCCAGTCTATTGAAAAGGTGGGTCTGCTCATCTCACACGTGGTCCAGGGAGCTACAGTTCCCTGCAAAACCCACTGATGCTTAGCATGGGAAAAGGAACGTTCCAAAGAATCAGACAAAGGTTGAATATCTGGAACTGCCTTGGCTCATTGTTAAGGCTCATATATATATATATGTGTGTGTGTGTGTTTCGTCGTTTTAAAGAAACCCTACAGCACAAGAGCAGCAGTATTAAAGCGGTCCGTCTGCCAAAATGAAAGAAAATATACAGATGTGTAGCACAAAAAGCTGTCATAGAGTATCAAAGCCAGATGTTTCATTTCTCCATTTTGCTGCTTTTGCTGCTCCACCTGCATCTTAAGCTGACAGAACTATGCTGCTCTTTTGTCAATTATTTATGTGGAGATATCCTATGTGACTGGAGACAGAGATGTCTATCTGTTTTTCTCCCAGTGCATATATACCGTATTAAGAGATGCAGTTACAAAGCAGGAAGTAATGGGTGTTTAGGTCATGCAATAGGTGACAGCTATTATTTCTAGGAAAGAGAAAATAATATATGCACCTGTGGAAATTAACCAAAACCCTGCTCTCATATCCTATGCCTATGTGCCAGGGGAAAACAAGAGTGCCTTTTTTTCAGTGTATTTTCAAAGGACAAGTGGGATTCCAATTGGAAAGTGCTTTGGATGGTCATAAAAACCAGCCACAATCTTTCCCATGTGCCAGTGGTTTGCTGTGACCACAGTGGTGGTCTCAAGTTCTAGGTAATGAACTATGTTCAACTAGGAGGTGGATGCCAAGTATTGTAGGTTAAGTCAGAATTGGAGAACAGGAAAGGAAACCAGCTTATACTGCTGGCTTAACCAAGCTCTTTGGAGTGCTTAGTTGGAGAGATGGATAGACAGAAGATTTTGCCTTGACAAGTCATAGTACATGCAGTGTAATAGAGAAAAATATTTCACTTTTATATCTGTCAAATAGTTATCACCAGAATCAGATTCCACAGCATAGTATACCGTATAGTTAGCATAACAGCTTGATTTTCTTTCTCAGACAATGAATAGGAGACAGGGATTTTTTTTTAATTGATATTTGATTATTTCTGACCATTGTGCTTCTGGATCCTTCACCTGCCAAATCAATGACAATTCTGCATTACTTCATATAAAGCTTATTATTGGGTAGTGCAGTCCACAATAACGTGGTAAATAATAGGGGTGTACACCAACCACAGAATTCAGTCCTAATTCGGCATTTTGGAAAGCAGCCTGCCTTAGTTCAAAGTACTTTGGAGATTGCTTGATTCAGCTCAGGGTCTGAGGTCAAGTCTACTTTTTTCAATGGGGGGGGAGGAGGAAGAGTCTTCATTCTTCCCATTCACTCTTGGGAAATCAAGCAATGGCATAACTTTTTCCCCTTTTTGACAGAAGTGAATGAAATTTCAAAGCACAATAGCCCATCCACTGTGAATATAAGACTTCTTCCAACAACCTGTTTATTTAATATTCATCTTGATTTACTTGGTCAAAGTTTACACAGTGGCTAGATTATGTCACATCTTTATTGAGCATGTGCTCTTCTTTAAAAAAAAAAATGCACTGTGAATCCTGCATTCATCCTGATTCCTTGCATGTGTTCACATGGCTTCCTGTTAATTATTTGTTAACGCTACACTTTTCAATGCATTTCCCCATGGCTTTTAGAACCACAAAAAGTTTGGGGGAGGTTTAAAGTGAATTTGTTACACTAGGGCAAGAGGGAACTTTAATCCACTTTATTTAGCCAACTTAAAGTTCCAGCATTTGCACGAATCCCTCACACACAATACTGGCACCTCAAGCCTGCCAAATTTACAGAGTTTTGTGCTGGGCACCTTTAAAAACTGATATTTTATTTAAAAAGGAACTTCTGTGGACCTGACTCCTGCCAAACTTCAGAAGGATAGCTACAGTGACTTTCCTGCAAGGGCAGCCTTCACAGTTTTGGGATGGGTAAGAAAGATTAGCATAATCTCCCCCTAGAGTTTTGCAGGAAACTGGTCTGAAAATAGCAGTCATGAGAGAAGTGCCCCTCAGTAAGAAATCTATCAAACTGCAGACAAATAGGCCCAGGGTGTGGGCGAGTTTGTGCCTTTCCAAATACGACTTCTGCTTACATCACTGCCCACTGAAACCCTGGCAACTTCCCCCTCTGTGGTTGCAGTGTCTTCTGCCTTGTTAATGGGTTATTGACTAGCCATTTTAGCCTTTGTTTCTTAATGGCTTATCTTCAGCCAGCTCTATCGAGCCGGACTGGTTTGTTATCCTAAATTTAATCCAGCAGTGTTTAGCAGAGTTTTAATCAAAGTTTGATCAATCCTAACTTTTGCTGATTCCAGGAATTATGGATGCCTCTGCATCCACAAACTCAGATCCACAAACCCATCCCATACACATAACAGTATAGAATCTTAAACAATATTTTACTTTGCTGTCATCTATTTCATCATCCATAGCTCAAATTCACCAATATTCAGATTTAAAGGAATGTTTGGTCTGTGTGCGTTAGTTTTCATTCAGCACTATTCAGCATAATGTGAGGGAAAATGAAATGCATTTCAGGATCAAAATAAATAACTATGAGATGGAGTGGAAGGGTCGTTCAAAAGAGTGTGCGTTTGCAAGGGATTGAAATAACATCTGCCAGGTCCCCCACACTGGCTTGTCTTCAAACAGCAGTCCTTCCTGTG